TGCATCACTTTCTTTTAACCCCACTGTATATGGCTAATTTAATAATTCATACCATTCTGTCTTCTCATTTCCTATTATGTCGCCTAAATGTGTCGATTGAAGTGGATTTAGTGAAACGTAATCACCTTCACCATCGGTTTCCGATGCCCTTCCTAAGGACTTTTGTGTCATGGTTTCTGGCTTTCATTTAGCCCCCTCCACCTTGCTTGTCAATTGCTCCCTGCTAAACATCAAAATCACTATCTGGTTGTCTCAAATATGGTTGCATGCAAGCCTTTCATTCCGGCATCCGTTTACGTCATATACGAGAAGTTAAAACCGGTGATTTGCATGGCTAGGTATCTCCTTCTCCTTGGGCTTCAGACCCATTATCAAGTTATCCTCATTCTAATCCCCATTTAATTCTCTCTGATTCGCTGAGGTCCTGTATGTCGTTTGATTTTGAACCGCTTGTGTGAAAATGGACCCTTTCCCTTTCCACTCCTGAGTCGCGTAAAGCACATTCTTCTTCTTTTTCAAAATGGCACTCCCGCCTAATCCTAAGGTTCCAGTCAGTTGTGCATTCATACGCCGGCTTGTAATCTCTATAGTCAGGTCTGTCAATAGTCACTTCACACCACAAGCGCACACACGAAAAGCACACAAGCACCCACAAATCACCATGAGGGACCAATTGATTTTGTGTCGCCAGCTCGGTTTCCACATTCAGCTTAATACCTCTAATGGTGTAAAATTTAGATGATTTGGGGCCTTTAATTCCATATCCGACAGATGGACCCACACCGGTAATTGTTCAAGCTGACTCCAAATTATATAAAATGTATTCACCCTATTTCGTTTAGGATGATGAAGGACTGGTAGTAGAATTTTCCCACAATGCTATGAGTAGAGCTGACGTTTCCATTCAATTTCACATTGCCTTGCTTTCCTAAAAGTTGTCCTCATCCAGGGTGGACTGCAGTTCCCACCCCTCCTAGGTCTTAACAACACCCCCAGCAGGAGTCGGACCGTGACAGTGCAGCATGTGAGGTTGTCACGCTAACCACTCAGCCGCATTGCCACGAGTGCCATTGGGTCACAGGGTAGATGTGAATGTCAAGGAAGGCCAGGCATGGTTCAATATCACATTCTTCGGTGGGATTGTCGATGAAGCAAAGTAATATTTGCTATAACAATCGACTACATTACTTATTTTTTTCATTTATAAGCAGAGTTTCGAGATTACCAGTAAATCAAATATATGAGATGTTCACCTACAATCCCACCAAAGAATGTGATATGGAAAAATTCCTGGCCTTCCTTGAAGTTCACATCTGCCCGGTCGCACAAGGGCACTCGTGACCATGTGGTGGAGTGCTTAATGTGTCGAGCTTACACGCTGCACTGTCATGGTTCGACTCCCGCTGGAGGCGTTGCTACGACCTAGGCGATGTCCAAATTGCAGTCGACT